CTGTCAGTAAACTCAAGGTCGGGGGAGCAGACATGACCTGCTCGTGTGGCAGAGGGCCGCGGAGCGATCAGTAGGTTTAAATTAAAAGGAGGTCCCTGATGAACACAGGCAACATCTTGGGGCAGGGAGAGGGGCTGGTGTGCGGCCCAGCTGCTCTCCTCACCGCTTCACTTGCAGGTGACCAAGGCACGTCAGGCGGGATGGACCCCAAAGCCACGCTGTACGGAGCGATGCTGTGGGGCTCCTGTGGGGCTCCTCGAGTGCCTCCCCCGTTCCTCATCTCCCCTGTCACGCCATGCTGCTGCTCTCGTATTTGTCAGCTCCTGGAGCGGCAGCCAAAAGACCAGGCAGTTACTGTCAGTGCAGGCATTTGCTTGGGGAGTAAGGGTTGGGGTGCCTGGTAGGGATACACGTGTCATACTGTTCTTTAAAATGTGCCAGTGTGCCCTTTCCAGCGTGGGGCAATGGAAGGAGGTAGGTAAAAATACCTTTTCAGGCTTGCTTTCTTGGCAGAAACCAGGCACTTAAACCTCAAAGTTGTTTTTACTCTTTAATTTGCACGACTGCTGACACCTTTTTCTCTTTCCCCTTGTGTTTTTTTTTTTTTTTCCTGTGCCCTTCCGTCCTGTGGTGGATTCACTCATTTTAAATTGCGGCCGTACCTCCAGGTGCACAGAAAGGTGGCACCAGGGATCCATTTGCAGAGTTTCACCCGTTCTTTGTGCCAGCAGGGCAATGCTTGCCTCCAAGGGCCTGCCCTGTATTTGGTGTGCCTTTTTTCCATGAGGTCCTCCTGGGTTTTCAGCAGGCTGCTGAGCTGACAGCCAGAGGGCACAGTCTCCTGTTTATGCTCCATTTTTTCGGGAGAAATGCTTATCGCTGCAGGCTTCCTTGTATCACCCCACATGTGTACCCCTGTACTGGTGGACAGAAATTCAGACGGGCCTAAAGAGGCAATCAAAACCCTTAGATTGAATGCCCTGTGCCCTTTTCTACCCAAAGGGAATGGGGAAGGCTTTAGGAACTGGCTCTGTCTCTAGGATTAATAACTGGAAAATCAATTTGTCATTTCCCTGTCATAAATTAAAAGCTTATAGGCCTTATAACATGAGTATAATAGAGGTTAGTGGGTATTGATGGAGGTCTCGAAGCTCACTCAGCAGAGCACATCTCTGCTATACAATTTAAATTATGTCTCCTCCACAAGGAATATCTGTCAATATTTGTATAAAAAAAGACATCCTGTGCAAGAATACTGTATTTGTTTCTATACTGCTGTTGCAATTGTTGCAGCTGGAAGAGGTGTGTCCTTCAGGGAGGTTGTGGTCCCATTTTGATCGGTGTAAGTGACCTCTACATTGTGCATTTGTGTCTGTAGACGTAGTACAAATTAGTCATGTTTAAGCTAATGAGGTGCTAGTTAGGATGTACATCTCTAAGCTGGTCCTTCTGAGAACAGAGAACCTCAACCCACTCCCTTGTCTATTGTAGTGAGTTTAGAAAGCAACCACACCCTTTCAAAGGGGTGACCAGCTGAGAGTAATGGAGAAGGAGTGGTTTGTAAGAGTCAGCAGACCAGGAGTGAAAAGGACCCTTTAAAGTCAGCCACACGTAGAACTAGAAAGGAGCAGTCTAAAAGGAAATTACCTGCTGGTAAGATTTTTGTGATCTAAAGGAGAGGTCATTTAAAACAAATAAACCTTGTCCAGTGTTGGGCAGCTGAAGAAAATACAATCAGAATAGTTTCTTAAAAAGAATAGGCTTTTTCTGTCTCTTTAAATTAGATTTTTTTTTTCCTAAATTAGGCATGATTCTATGATATATGGTTACATAAATGATCTAAGATGAGTGAATGAGCCATAATCTGACCTGCAGCAATGTAAAAGGATATTTCCTGCAGATTACTGTGTTTTGGCATATTATTTATAGTACTATTTTAAGTCATTTGTTTATTAGAAAACTCTAATCAGTTTAATTGAAACAGATGTAGTTGCCAGATATTTTACTTGTTTGTGCACAAATTATTGCTGTTAGGTACGTTGATTAAAAATAAATAAATTGAAGCACTCACAAGACTAATGTCATCAGACATACAGAGGTTTCACTGTCTTTTCAATTGGATAGTGGCTTAATTTACTTTTCAGTCTATGATTGGTATCCTGTATCTACTTACATACCAGAAATTGAAATGATTGGTGTCTACAGCCTTTCTTAAAACAGGTGTTTACCTTGATTTGATTACAAGCATCACTTTATTTCATCATCATTACACCTTTAAAGAGGAAACAAGACTTCTAATAAACTAGCTGTTCTGTCTCTCTAGCATCCAGTGGTTGCAGATGCAAAAGACTGTTGGACAAGGGATTGTTTTGGTTTTGGTTCCCCCCCAATATACTTAAAAAGAGACTTTGCAATTTGCTGGAACTTAAATTCCTCCAGAGCCTTTAGGATCTATAATGTCAATATAGCTGTGGCATAAATGCATATACTAGATATAAATCTTTCTGACATCTCTTTAAAAAAAACCACAAAAAAATCACAAAAAAAGCCACTTTACTGACTAGGCACACTATTCAAGTCCTAAAGCTCTGTATCTAGTCAATTTATATTGGTAGTAGGTTTAAAAAATAATCACTGAAAGTTGTGTTAGATTTAATTACCTTTCCTGCAGTGCTTGCTGTTTTCCAGAAAAGGGTAGAATGGCTTTTATTCAACTTCCAAAGGCACGTGGCTACTTCTTTATGTGCTTAGCTGGGCAAGAAAAAAAATATACTTGGTTTTGCGTTAAACGTGTTAAGACAATAATTGGCAGCAATTCAAATATTGTGAAGGTTCTGTATTTGCAAATGTGTTTTATATGGTCTTATAGCAGCTACCACACCAAGAGCAGCTTATCAGTGGAAAAAATGTACGTATTGTGTATGATGCTTTTTTTATAAAGTATATTACATTGTCAATAGTGAAGGACGTTGTGAAAGAAGGAAAGCCTGAGGGTAGCGAGTTAATGTTAGGCTTGGAAGACTGGATGCTGTTTGCATAGACTTTGCTGTGTTGCATCAGGTGGCATTTCTTTGCCATCGTTTCTTTGTACTGAGTAGAATAATAGCACTGAAATTTGTGTCTGATTCAAGATTCATTTAAATAAGAGCCTATGAAGAGCGCAGATATTCCGGTGATGTGGGAGGGGACTATCAGGTTTTGTAAAAGGTGCAAGTTTGTTTTCATTGAATCGCAGATGCGCTTAGATGTATGAGCCAAGAAGTCCCCTCTTTGAAGGAATAACCTGTTGTAGAAGCTGTTCAGCTTGACCAAAACAGGCATGTTGGATGATACCCACTTTTCTGTAGGCTATTTATTGCAAGGGAAGGAAATAGTATTGTCACTTGCCTTTTTTTGTCTTTGCTTTCTCCCCTTCAGGCAAAGGCTTTAGTTGTCTGTGGGGGTCATAACACTAAACGTGACGACTGTTATTTAACACATACCCCAATTAAGTTGTCCCAGTTGTAGGTCAGAGGCCTGCTGTATTAAGGGCTCCACAACCAATTGATAGCTCCTCTTTTGAGGAGGAGGTTCTGGAAAGTGAGACTGAATGGGGGAGCTGAGCTGGCAATTAAGTGCTTGTAGGCACTGTAATCAGTGTTGGGGGGTGAGGACTGGAGGAGGAAAATGAGATCGCCTTGTGGGTATCCATGAAGGGCTGCTCTGCTTGGGGGCAAGAGAATAAGAAAGCACAAAGGCTTCTGTTCCTAGCAGCTGGATGGGAGAGGAGTGGAAGCAAGCAGCGACTGCTGGAAAGCTCATGAAAATGTGACAGGCTGATGGGGGAGAGAAGCCCACAAAGAATGAAATAGTTGGTTTGAAATAATTGCTCTTGCCACATGTCCTTGGCCTGGGCTTTCCCTTCCATCGTCCTGTGGGTTCCATCAGAAAAGTCCTTGTATGAGATGTGTTTCTCCCCCTTGCCTTTTTTTTTTCGACGGTGCCGTAAAGTACATACTACTCAAGGTGTTCCCCATAACTAAACTATACAGTAAGGAGTATATGTCTTCTGTAAAATGTAGCTGAGTGCTTGGTTGCTCTTTTGTCCATTTGGGCTTTGGTACAAAGTTTAGTAGGCTCTTAACACTGTATGGGGTTAAAAAAATGTTGGGCTTGTTTTTCTCTTTTTAAAGAACATCTGAGGGACTAGACATAAGTGGTCTGAGGTTTCTGTATGATATTGCAGTAGTAAACTGTATAGCATGAACATATTCACTGTTCCCTGCTGCCTAAATTGAACTGTGCTTCATGTATCATGAAATTTATATTGATAACATAGAGGCCTGAAGAGGGTAGAGACTCGTGCATTCAAATTTAAGGAAGTGTGTATAATCCTTGTTACTGCTGTTTGTGGTGTGTATGGATTCCTTACACTATATGGTTTGCATAGTTTTGTGAAGCATTCAAAATGCTGAGTGAAGGATAAAACACCTGATTAAGAAAATCAAATATAAACTGGAAAAATAGGCTCTGCTCCTTCCAGCTTGCTGTTAAAAAGGTAAATTAGCTGGGAAAAGTATAGTGAGAGGGCAACAGTATTAACCTTCAGATTAGAAAATATTATATCACCAGGAGAATAGGCTGAACTATCAATCTGTGCACACTAAGAAGAAATTAGATGTTTAATAGAGAATGTAATTGAAGTTTTAAAAAAACTAGTTAATTTGACTAATGTCAATTCAGATTATTGTTCCACTTGCATAGCTATGGCAGGACAGTAGACAGTGTAGAAAACTCCAAAGACGAGCTGGATTTTTTTTGTTGGGCTTTTTCAAATGGGTCCAGCCTTTTCAGAAACATGGAGTTAGTTCAGAAATAGTTTCTTTCTGTTACTGAATATTGTGTTGAGTGCTGACTGTGGCGACAAAGGCAAATGTATACAGGGCATTCCAGAAAATTTAGCAATCTTAATGAATAAAAGTAAAATCTGTGCAGATTATCACTGCATGTTGTTTTAAGCAACTTGAATAATGGTGCGATAGTAAGTTGGACACTGGGAAGTGAATCGTAGTTTCACCAGCGGGGTAATTGGTTTCTGAAAGAGAAACATCTCAAAAAGAAATGTCTTTGTTCCAGGCAGATGCTGGCTGTACTGCCTGCAGGCTAAAGTTTTGCGGCAGCAGATCAAGCTTCTGCTGCCTCAGTGAAGCATTTCAAACCAGGGGGTCAGAAGGTTGGTTTGCAGGGTACAGTTCCTATGGCTACCAGCATGTCCCATATGCCCAGGATATATGACTCGCTTTGCAGAGTCCTGTGCTCACTGAGATGGAACGTGACTATGAAGCATGTTAGTAGTCTTTGCGCTGTAATGGTCCTGGTTGAATTTGAACCAGCATCCTAGGAGAGATTGGCTTTCTGTCCCATTTTATCAATTGACTAAGCTATTTCCTTTTCAGTCTAGATGATGCCTTTCCCAGCTTTAGCCTGTGCTGCTCTTTTATCTGTCCTGAAGGGGAATTACTGGCTCTTGGGCCTTCCTCTTGATTTGCTGCTGCCTCCATAATGAACCTCTCTGTGCAGTCCATTTCGGACATGTTTTTGCCTGTCTGTTTATGGATTTCCTCCATATCTTTCTACCTCATTATGGAAAAAAAAGCAAGCCCTAACTTACTAAAGTGGAAAAGGAGTGTGTATACACACCTTCCAGCACAGAGGAAGCTAGATTTTATTAATCTGGTATGTTCAATGTCTGTGTTTTTTTTTTTTTTTTTCTTTTTCTAGTATTTGACTGCAATTTTGAATCTCCTTGTGAGCTGGAATATTCCCTTTCCTCAAAAGATCAGGAAACCTCCAATAATGCCTGGCTCAGAGTGAGCGCAGAGGAGATTTCACAGCTAAACATCCCGGATGGGCTGGAGAGAGATCACTCTGAAAATACACCTAAAGGTAAGATGAATACAACTATGTAATGCCTTCAGTGTAGTGCTTGATTTTAAAACCAAAACACACATGGCCCTCCCAAAATACACCAAAAAACCCCCCAAACTCCACCAAAACATGTTCTCTTAAAATTCTGAAGACAGCTATAATCCTTCTGCTGTAACAGACAATGAATGCAAACAGTGTCACAAACAAAGGGAGTCATTCTGCATTGAAGGATCTGTTTTTGTCTAAAGGCAATCTGAATCATGTATATGGGAAGCAAAATATCCAATATAGAGTTGTGTAAAATCTGAATCAGGCTGACCCATGCCGTGGACAGTATTTAGATGAGAACAATACTATGGTGCCTATGTTTAAGGTCATTCAGTGGTTGGAAGAGATTAATAAAATAGAGTCTGGTTACCTCTGCTCTAGGTGCTGTTTACTGCTTGCTTATTTGCAGACCGTTTTAGGCAGTATCCTTGTGTCTAGGGCTTAGGTTTTCTGTTTGGTGAGAAAACAGAAGATGTGTTTTGCCCTTAATATAAGAAAAAATTTCCTGTTTCTAAAGAGAACTAGGAAGCATGAAAAGAGGGGAGTCCCACAGACTTTTCTCCTTCCTTGGAAAAAATTTGGTTTGTTGGAATTATTTTTCCTGCTCATGATCGTATCTGTGAACAGCATAATATTTCATTAAGATTATAAGTGCTAAAGAGATCTTTACCTGTATTTGTGCTCTTCTAATCCTGGGAAAGCAGAAAAATTCTTAACATGCTTCCTGCTGTTAGTGACACCTGCTTGAAACATCTCCCTGCAAGGGTCGGGTGGTGTTGACGTGAATGGAGCTACAAAGTGGAAATGGGGAGTTAGAGCTACGAGCTTTACCCAGACAAGGCAAATGTAGAACAAAGAGGTACAGGAAAGGACAAGAACAAAGAGGTATAGGGAAGGGCAACAAAGATTATCAGGGATATGGAACAGTTTCTGTACTAGGAAAAACTAAAGCTAAACAGATTCTTTATTCTGTCTGTGATGGTAGGACTTAGAGGTCTACAAAAATGCCTATTGAAGAACAATGGGAAGCAGCCATGAAGTTAGTGGGTGCAGGGTATACAACAATCGAGTGCAAGAGGAGATATTTTTCAGGTGGTACCTGAATAAACTGTGGTAAATAAGATGCATGAATTAATGTTATAGAAGCCAGAAGTTTAAAGAAAGATCAGGTGAATTCTTGCAGAATCACTGATTATTTAAATTGATAGTCTGTTTACAGTCCCTGACTCGAGAATCCTCTGATATAGAAAGCTGCAAATGAAAGGATCCTTTTCTTGGTAGTCAGCATCAGAGATGGCATTTAACTTAGCAGACCTGCAGTCTGATTATAAGAGTTCTTATCTTCAAGCAAATACCGAGGAAAAGTTTCAGTGCCACTTTTGTTCATATTCTTTAATTCTCTTTTCTCATCCATATCAATAGTATAGTACTTCTCCCCTGATAGCCATTATACAATAACTTTTAAGGCCCATTGTTTGAACACTGATTCATGAGCAAACCAAGTCATTTTGGTGGGATATGTGTCATGCGTAAAGCATATGGACCACATCTGTGATGCGTGCAAATATCTTCCAATTTTCACATCAAAGAACATAGATGCGCATGCTAAATTTCTCGCTACAGAGATACAGTTAAGTGAAAATTTGAGGTAAATCAGAATGTCTGCTCCTTGAGAAGGTGTTTTCCTTTTTCTTAAATTCTTGTGCAAGCTGGCTGCTGATGAAATTTAGGAGTAAAACCTGCTTGTTTTGAATTGAGAAGAGCAGCTGTCACTTTCCTGGAGTGGGGAAAAAAATGGGGAAAACCTGTGAGGAAGTAAGTGTATTGTTCCAGGTGAATGGCGTGACCGGGTTGTGGTGGTGCTGCATATTGTTGATGTATGTTTCTTTTGGACTCTTTTTGGTAAAGTTATGTATACTTTACATAACATATATACACATGTATATATGTTTGGTAAAGTTGTGTATATTCAGTCAGTTTTATATGTCTGTCAAAGCAGAAGGGGGGATTGTTGGCTGGTCCTGTAGCACAAAAATGAGAGTGGTATTGATTGATGATTTCCAATTGTCTACTGGGATAAAATTCCATTTTTAAGCCCAAAGTTTTGTTTGGTTTTTTTTTTTCCCCCTTCATCTCGAATGTAGGCAATTTAGCAGAACACCAGCTTCAGCCTGTTTTCTCCCATTCTGAGGGGCAAGTACCCAGTGTGACATTGATTGAATGGATTTAGATTTGTGGGGTAGCAGGGTGGGTTGTTTGGGATGTTTTCTTTGCTTGTTAGTTGTTGTTGGTTCGGTTTAGGTTTTTTTTTTAATTATCATAGTCAGAGGTAATTTGATCTTGAGCCCCTCAGTAGAGCTATAGGTCTGCAACTTGTAGATGACTGTAACTCTTGTGCGTATAAAGACTCATTTGAAAATCAACACTTGGAGCTAGCATCTCTCTATTTTAAATCACTTTAATTACAGCTGCTTGGCACAGATAGTTGTGTGGTCTGTTTCAATCTGAAATAATTAAGCACAGTAATTCCAACCCCCACTGTTTCCTACAAATTGTACTTCCAATTATCTCAATCTCATTTCATCTCCTTTGCAGACAGTAATGCGCAGATATAAACAGATAGCATAACTAGATTTTGGGGTGGTTTAGCTCATCCTTGTCACTTGGCTATCAAGACATGTCAAGATATTGATAGAGACAAATGCCTTGGGTATGATTCATTGTGCTTCATGTAAGTTTCTGTAAAAGGTTCAGTAGGAAATCATTGGTAGATCTCCCAAAGAGAGACACTGGAACAGCTTGTGTATTTTTGCCCTTGTTCCCCCCGTGTGATACAGCTCAGTCTCAAGGAATCAGAATGAATCAGCGCGGATCAAGCTACTTAGAGGAAGAACTAGTTTCAGGTGTCTCAGCATTTGGTTACAATCACATCTGAGTGCTCCACTC